AACGAAATGACAATATAATGTAAACACATATATTCTTTACTCTATGAAACAAACACACACAMATGTATATATATGCGGATTTTACTAATTCTTTTCAAACATTCAGTATTAATTGTTGGAATTYACCTGATAATGTTACCGACCCAACTTCACATAAAACGTAAATAAATAATGTGAACTATTAATAACATTAACAATATTGGATTATGCATAATATTACTAATTCATACATATTTTAATATTTACTGAAATAATACTCATTTATACTTATGAGCATATAAGTGCGTACAATTATCTTCCATTTTTTATTTTGCATTATGTAACTTTTATTAAATTTCTAGAAATAAAAATTATATGTGCATTGAGCMCCTTAAATGTATTAATATTAATAATAATAATAGCTTAAAGCCTTAAAACAAATTATATATTTGAGAAAATTATTATCCAATCGATAATAACAAGTCAAAAATAAAATGTTCCTTTTTTATTTTACTTAKTTTTACTTAAAAATGTTATATAAAAAATAAACACAACTTAAAAGTTTAATATTTGAAATTTTGAAAACACTGAATATAATACCAACATTATTTAGAGAAATAATCTTCTGGTATTCAATCTTATAAAAATAACACACGTATAGGTAAACAGGAAATTACTATATTTATAACGATCATAAAAAAGGTAAAACATTAATACTTGACAGAAGAATGCTGCAGCCAGTACTTTTTCTGACCAGATAGCTGCGGTGTATCGTATTGTGTTGTTGGGAATTATTATTTTAAAATGTCTCGTTCCATGTCTTGGCCGTTTATCGACCAAACCGGTCAAATAAGTGTACAAAATGTTTGCATTTGTATGTACAAATGATTTTCTCTTTTAATAAATTATAATAATATAATGCATGTTATCATAATAATAAAAATAATTCATTGAAACGAGTTTCAAAAAGGACTAACAACAATTGAGCGCGATTTACACCACTGTTGTAAATTTACGTACGAGATTACAGCCTGTTCACAGTGTAAAGGAAATATAAATCGCTACAAAACTGCGTAATATAATATAATATACTCGTGTCTCGTATAGGATTCGTTGGCGTACGGCCGCGTCGGTATTTACATACAACAATAATATATTATAATCGAATGGAATTTACCATATAATTTATATATTATATTATCATATTATATACGTACTATGCTATAATGTTTAGTGTTTACTGTGTAAGTACCAAACTATATTAAATATCTGCTTAATAAATATTAAGCTTATTAATAATAGCAAGCCGTGGAGAACGCGTTCACCGTATATACGTATTTATACATATAGTATTATTCATGTACCTCATTTTCCTCTGCAAATGCATTAGTTGGGTATAAATGCATAAATATTAAGTGTGATAACCGCAACAGTAACAATATATTATATGTAGRTATATAATATTGTAATAAAATATATCAACCAGTGCGACTGTTCGAATGTGTTCAGTCGGCAGTTATGTAAGTTCAGTCTTGTAAATTGTATATAGGTACATG